GGGAGAGGGAGAGCCATCGATGTGAGAGTGGCACATCAATTGGTTGTCTCACGCATGGGATTGAGCCTGCAACCGAGTTCGTGCCCTTGACCAGAATCGAACCCGGGACCCTTCAGGCCGCAGACCGATGCTCTATCCACTGAGCCAAACTGGCCGGGGCAGACTCACTGTATCTTCATTAGTTTACAATGAAAAGTGGTTTAAAAACGGAGCGTGCCATTCTGAAGGCTCACGGGAACGGCTCAAGAAGCAAAGGTGTCTGTCGTCGGAGGGGTCGGTCCAGGGGGCGGCGTGTGCCACCAGAAGCTGCAGAAGAATCCTGCTGCTTCCCGCCACCCGGGACTGAGGAGCGGGAGCTTCACGTCTCTCCCTCAGCCTTTACTTACAGCCTCTTCAGGGTGAGGCCAGATCCCAGGGACTTAGTGCCTCCCGGGGGGCAGAGGGCCCCGACCGGGCGCGGCCGAGCGGGCACATCTCACAGAGATAAGGGGGGGGGGAGTGGGTGCAGGAGGAGCCAGAGTCACCATCCTCTCCAGACAACTTTCAAAGGCGCCGGAGGAGGCTCAGAGGTTCCTGTGCAGCCAACCTGGGAGGGATGTAACATCGTCAAGCTCAGCGGAGCCAACAGGCCCCCGGCAAAGGCCTCTGCTCAGACCCTCTAAGATCTGTGAGTGTGAGTGTGAGTGTGAGTGTGTGTGTGTGAGTGTGTGTGTGTGTTTTAAATAAACAATCTGTTCGCCTATGAAGGCCCGGGGCCACAGGAGAACCTGCCCCTCCCAGCCACTGCCTCTTCCTAGAAGTTCCAGAAACGAGAGACAGCGACAGACCCAGCTCCGGAGCCCAGGCACCCACATCTGTGACCCGCTGGCGGGGGCACCGCCAGCCTCGCTTTTAAAAAGTTAATGTATTCAGTGAGTTTGCTTAGTAAGTGTCTTCACATTGGAAGGAGCAAAACTACCAGTAATTTTCATACAATCCAGGCGTCCGCTCTCGGCCCGAATCGGGAAACACATTCCCAAGTTTCCCGGAAGAGCCCCTGTCCCCCAGCTCCTTTCAAAGGGAAGGAAAAGGCTGTGTGTGTGAACAAGCCCACGCGGCCTTGCCGCCGGCTCCTGGCCCGAGAGCCGCCCGCTGCCGGCTGAGCTCTGCCCCTCAGACCCACTCATTCCTCAGCCAAGGCCGCCCCCACCGAGGCCCGGCCACAGCCAGGCTGCCAAATGCCGTTGTGGGCAGCGTCCAGCCTGGAGTTCCTGGGCCACAGCATTAGACAGAAAGACAGAAAGACAGAAAGAAAGAGACAGGAAACATCAGGGTCCAGGGCTACCTGTGGGCAGCGCCCTGTCCAGACGGAACAGGTATTTCTTACTGCGGGTCAAGGTCAAAAAGCGCGGCCGCCAGCGCGCTCAGT